TTCGGCCTTAGATACAGAATCGTGAAGTACTTTTTTTGCGTCCGTTTTGTTATATGGTGTGGAAGCATGGACACTGAAGGTAGCAACAATAAACAGAATTGAAGCCTTCGAAATGTGGACCCTACGACGATTGCTAAGGGTGTCCTGGGTCGACCGTGTGAGAAATGAAGACATTCTCAGAAGAGCTGGTCTAGAAGAACGTGAACTCTTCGAAATCATCAAGAAGAGGAAAATAGACTATTTGGAACACATACTACGTGGAGAACCCTATCATTTTTAGCGTCTAATTCTCCAGGGTAAAATCGAGGGGGTCAAAAGGGGAATAACAGGCCGAAGGAAGCTATCCTGGCTGGGAAATATTCGTCATTGGACAGGCATACAGGACTTCCAAGCACTCCAAGTCGCTGCAGTTAATAGCACCATTTGATGAGGAAGAAAGAAGATGAACGCCTACGCAGGAATCTGCACGGCACCTTAAAAAGAAGAAGAGGACAATGATTAGAATGGTCATTGACGGAAACTCTACAAATTCCACTACTCCAACTCCCAGAAGATGACATACAAAAAATGTACAACTCTGAAAAACACCTCATTGTATAGTATTGAGCATAAAAAGAAGCAAATTGTACGATAAGTCGTTGTGTGTGGAGCGCCCTTAGCTAGCAAGTAAAGTTAAATAAAAACCTTGTTATAAAAAAAGTCTCTCTGACAGGGAAAAATCAGAAAGAAATTATTAAGCTTGTTATTTTTTACAAGATAAATTCTATTACAGAACGCTGATATCTGGTTGTGTGTGTAGTGGAAGATTTGATATATCCTTCAGACATGCGATTCAGTAATAGAAGAGGAAGCGAAGAGGAAAAAATAATCTAAGATGGTTTTTCGTGGAAACTAAATTAATTTTCCGGCTGGAAAATCGTTAGGGGAAACCCGAATCAAGAAAAACATGGAGAAAATCAAATCTGGGAAGATTATTTTTGTTGTTATTAGAGATAAAGTATTTAGAATGTGGATGATAATAAAGGATTCGGTCTATATAATGTTATTGGGCATAACCAACTAGTCTTCATTATTATGATTTTCAATATAATTTTCATCAAATAAGAAAAATATAAGTAAAAAAGTTCGTACAAATATATGTCCTAAAATACTTAGTTTCGGAGATACAGGGTGTAAAAATTTCATTTTTATTTCGATTTCGATGTTGTCAGTTGATGTTGATAGTATATGTAGCTGGCGCCCTCTACAACTAGGAGTCATATTGACATCAAAATCAACTCCAAGACAGTAATTTTCATCCAAATATTGACGTTACTTGAGAAATTATTTCAAAAAAATCAAATAAAAATGAAATTTCTACACCCTGTATTTCCGAAACGAAGCCATTTTAAGACATACATTTATACGAACTTTTTTACTTATTTTTATCTGCAGAATATGCTGCTAAAGTTTCTGGAATACAGTTCGGACCACCCTGTATATCCTTCTACTATTTCCAATTTTGTATTTTATTTATTAGAATATCTTTTCTGTCTATCAGTTCATTGTGTATTACTTTAGTTCTTGCTAAATTCGTTTTGAGACCTACTTTATTACTGGTTGTCTTTAACATGTAACATTTTCAATTAAATAAAGCTTTTTATATTACAGAATATGTTATAAATTAAAATCCCAAACCATTTAAAAACCTCCATATACTCGTACAATACAACAATTAAACGATGTGCGAGTTATATAATATGTAGTTTTCCGAGTTTTCTGGCTTCTGATAATGACACGCGCGTTGTTTGGAGAGGAAAAACGGAAAAACATTTCCATTTTCTGTCGATCGACGACAGGGACGCGTTTTCCTCATAACAATAGTCGATTTTCCACGTGCGCGCGTGAAAAACAGTGGGCCCTTGTCGACTTGCACAGTTCCCTGGTGTGAATCCTGGACAAGTGGAATAAATTGCGGGTATTGTCTGGACGGAATAATGGGTATTCCTTCAGGAAAGCCAGTGTCTGTGTCTGTGAAGCGTCCTGATAGGGAAAGCTTCCCTCTTGTTTGAGGAAAATGATTTTCATTGATTATTCTTTATAAAGAAAACAATTATCTGTTAGATCAGGGTTTCTGAAACAGTCGCTTTTAAAACCACGATTGTTTATACAGGGTGGGTCTTAAATAACTGTGACTATTTTTAGTTAGAAGTGGTATTTTTTGATTCATTGGACACGTTTATGATGTTTTTTCGCGATTTTTTTGGAATAGTTGTAATTTTTTCGAATTTTCTCTTAAAAAACACAATATCTTGATAATCTGGCAACATGAGTTGAGTACTAGATCCACCAAGAGATAGAAAGAAAACAATCTAAGGCACTCGAAGAAACTTTTCAGGACTTTGGCCTATTTTTCAGGACAGAATTGGCCTAAGATCAGGTGACCATGGAATTCTGGTTCTCAAAGCTCCAGGAAGACGAGCGAGATTCCACGCTGTAAAATCTGTACCAAGATATAAAAGAGGAGCTGTAATGTTCTGGGGAGGTATTATATGCTGGGAGCAAAAACTCAATTGTTACCACTTTAACAAACGTTAACGGTTCGGAGGTATGTTGATTTAGTGCTAGAACCAATCGTTATAGGCTTTGGAGAGCTGCAATTGGGGATAATTCTAACTTCATGTACGATAATGCATCTCCCTATACCAGCAGAGTGACTAGAGAATGTCCAGAAAGGAAGGTGTCATAGTTTTGGACTGGCCTGCATGTTCACCAGATCTAAACCTTACCGAAAACTTGTGGGATCAGCTCAAAAGAAGAATCAAAAAGAAGAATTAAAAATTTAAATTTCATTTCGTTTCAGAAACCAAAAAAATACCGTTGTTTTTATTTTGGGAATTGTTTTTTTTTTCTTGGTAAAGTCTTTGGTAAGGACTGAGTTTTATTGGTTTTATTCATAAACACAAAATGTTCATTCGTCTCAAAGATTATGAAAAATAATAGGTGATTTTTTCCATGTAACTTTGGTTGTATTTATATGTGTTTAGGTCATTTTTTTTAAATGGATAAGGCGGTTTTTGTAACTTGACGCCTTTTATGTATCTATATTTATAATATTTTTTCTAAATTTATGAAAATAAACATTATTAAACATTTATCCAAGGCGTTAAGGTGTTAATTGAATTATTATTTCCTGCAAGAGATTGCTAACAAGCCCCTCGAAACTCTGACTAGTTCTATCCTAAGTAATCGAATAACGCCAAGACCACTCCAAGATTCGGCGTCTGTTGATTTCAGACTCGATGCAGAAGGTGCAGAATGGGAAATATCCACTTCTAGTACACCTAGCGTTAATTTAATAGGGGGAGAACACCCCCCTCTAACCCAAAACCTCCCGCATTTCAAGATAAGGTCTTTTGTTGGACAGTGCCGGAACGACTTGATACGAACAAATAATCGTATTTTGATAAAGTTACCCTTATTAAATTTTGATACATCTAAAACCGTGTTTTATTAAAATACTAATATAAAAACCATCGATTTAACTTGAAAAATATTAGATATAATCACAGATAACATTCTTACAAAAGCACGCTTTACGTTAAGCATTTTTTGTACTTTGTATAATACTTCTTCTGCCTGTTTAACAGAAATTGTACGCGTTTTACCCGCTGATTAATGCAACGAACTTAATCACTGTCGTCCCAGAAATATATCAAGCTAGATTTAAACGATAGGATTTTTCCTTTTAAGGAAAATTAAGAGAATTTTTTTCGGGAAAAAAAGCCAAAGTGGAAAGAAAGAAAAGAGAAAATGCATATTTTATGTTAAGAGCTTCTTATATCGGATATTTCATCGTCTTATGGATGGTATTATTATAAGATTTGAGCATAAAAAAGTCATTTTAGTTGTTAAAATCTTATTGGGAGTGCCGTATTTGTTTTATTTTAGCTGGATAAATATCAGGAATCCCATTATTTTTTTGGAACTGTCAGATAAAATACGAGTTTCTTTATTTAATGTATAAAAATATATATTAATAATGGACTGAAACATCTGAAATTTGCGGTACGTATGTGAAATTTTATATACTTTGAGACTGAATACATAGTTAAGCTTGAATGTTAATAGTTTTAAGGGAAAACCTGGGAGAGACAGCTGTATTTCCGAAGATTTTGCCGTAAAGTTGTACTATATAGTCTTTGTACCGTTTAAAAAAATATTGACTGTGGTTTGAAGTACTTATGAACAATGTAAATTATATTAAATTTTATATATTTTTATGAAATATCTACTATTAAATTCAAATATTAGAAATTTTTGGAGGTATCAGTCTTTTTCTTGAAAATGGTCAGAGAGTACGAGTTTTTTTATTTAGCGTATAAAAAAATATATTAATTATGCATTGAAACATCTGAAATTTATCAAGTAGTATGTAAAATTTTATATACTTTTAAAATAAATACATATCTAAGCTTGAATATTAATATTTTTAAGGGAAAACCAGGAAAAGACAGCTGTATTTCCAAAGATTTTGCGTTAAAACTGGTAAAATTATACTTGTCTTTTATCGTATAAAAAAATATTAACAATGATTTGAAATATCTAAAACCTACGTAGATTATATAAAATTTCATATATTTTTAGGAAATATCTACTACTAAGTTCAAAAGTTATAAATTTTAAGAGATATTACTGTTTTTCTTAAAAATGGCCAGACAGTATGAGTTGCTTTATTTGCCATTTAAAAAATATATTAATTATGGACTAAAACATAAATCTTATCATGTTTATGTAAAATTTTATATACTTTTAGAATAAATACATATCTAAGCTCGAATATCAATAGTTGTAAACATTATTTTCCTGGGTTATTTTATTAAAAATAGTTTTAAAAACTTTCTATCTACAGAGAAAAATTGATTTTAAAAAATCCTAATTAATTTGTGTATACTGAGTTGCATAAGTATTAAACTGTAACATTTATTAAAAAAATACCTTCACCATTTCGTCAACAAAATTGCATAACGTGTGTGAATTATTGTTTTGATAAAAATGATGTTATCTAATCAATTTAATATCTTTTTTTAGTGTCTGTTATGTGAAAAATGACTTGCAGCTTGTAATTACATAAAAAAATTGATTAATTCAGATATTTTAAAGTGTAAAAAACACACATTCTCCGCTACTGACCTATGTTAACCTCTCAAATCTCTCAAATCAAATCAGAGTGAAATTTCAGAAAAGCTCTCTATGATTTTCCATGTTTTTTCTATGATACATTTAGAAATACATTTTTTCTATTATATAACAGTTAAAGAGATAAGTGTTTAAAAACTAGAACCTGGATTTTATCTATAGTTTAAGTGAGGGAATTAAAAATCAATTCATATTATGCTTGTCATTTCCTGCACAGGTTATAGATCAGAAATACTTTAACAAAAATTGGAATTCTAACAGAAAATTATGGATAACGAAGTATCTGTGCATCCTCTATCCGATAGGCCTACAGCGGCATGGAAGGAAATAAGCAAAACCCAGAAAATGTACAAACTAAACGTAAAAATTCCTCAAAAACCAGTTGAACCGAACAAACTACGGTTTGTATGTATGAGTGATACACATTCCTTAATTCGTAACATAATGTTTGATATACCTGACGGAGATGTCTTTATTCATGCCGGAGATTTTACAAAGTGTGGCCAAAAAGATGAGGTTCTTTCTTTTGATAAATGGATAGGTAAATATGTCTTACACTGTAAGTTATGTTGAACTAAAAGTATTTTCTGTGTTTTAGGAACGTTACCACACAAACACAAGATTGTAATAGCTGGAAATCACGAATTAAGCTTTGATGAAAAATTCACAAACCTTTTTAAGAAGAAAATTGAGTCACAGTCAAGAGATATGACTGATGAAGTACCTCACTATGGTAAAACGAAAGACAACATTAACGATGCAGTAAACACTGAAAATATCAGACAATATCTAACAAATTGTACATATTTAGAAGACTCAGGCCTAGAAATTTGTGGCATAAAAATATATGGAACGCCCTGGTGAGTGGACTTATTGAAATAAGTAAGAGAAATACTATTTAATGTTATTATTAAAGTTTATTTATGATATTTTACAAATATTCAGGCAGCCAGAGTTTGGGAATTGGGCATTTAATTTACCTCGAGGCTCAGAATGTTTAAATAAATGGAACAGAATACCTTCTGATACTGATGTCCTTATAACTCATACACCCCCTTTAGGACATGGTGATTTAGTTTGCTCTGGTGTTAGGGCGGGATGTACAGAATTATTATACACAGTTCAAAAAAGGATTCAACCGAAATACCATATATTTGGTCATATACATGAAGGTACTAAATGGGTTTTTTATTTTTCTATATTTAAAGAATGTATTTTAGGCTATGGAGTAACATCAGATGGTAAAATAATTTTTGTTAACGCTTCAACATGCGACATCAACTATATACCAAATAATCTACCGGTAGTATTTGACATACCGTTACCTCCAGGTCATTTAAAAGGCTAAATGACTTAAATATTTCATTCACCCTGTGTAGATATAGGACTTTAATTTATTGCGAAAGGTTTTCTATTTTTTTATATGTATATATTTTGATCAAAGTAACAATAAAATCAACAAACTTTATTTACGTTATTACAAACATTCACACATAACAATTAACTAGTAGTGTTTGTATTAAAATAACTTAAGGTAGCATTAACAACAATAAATAATAACGTTTTGTGTCTTTAATTGCATAGAGACTTCAGAGGAAATCACATTTCTTTAAATCTGCACGCTTTTATGCAAAGTACTTGCTGTGCTTGATGTTCTTTGGTTGAATGAACTAAACACACACTTTTTAGTGACTGTTTGCCCTACTTTTCAGTATAGTAAAATTAGAGGAGTGATTGTGAGATCTACAAAAGAGAGATGTGATTGATTTTATTTAGTTATGATTTCGATTTTTTATTTGCTTCTACAGGCGGTATTTTTTCCTTTTCTGTACCCAGAAGGTCTTTTCTCACTTCATCATAGTCTAGATTCTGTTCCTTCATAGCTTTCTGAAAGAAATACGTATCTTGTGTGTTAATAAAATATTGATTTTAAAGTTATTACATACCTTAATGCAATGTTGATACACCTTAAGTAAAGGTGCGCATATTGAATCGTTCGTTCTACCTCTTAGAAAATGATCCGAGAACCAAGCGTTAAAGCAATCGTCGTATTCTTTTTTTAGGTCTGTACAGGCTTCGCCTATACTATTCATTTTACTTAGAATTTAGGAAAAATTTCGTAAAATAAAACTGGAAAAATTCTTTCAAATTTGTGAGGTTAGAATACGATCTTCTTCTTAACAAAATGATGGGCTAATGATTGTTAAGGCTGTAATGGAACTTCTTTTTCAGAGGAATCAGAATCATATACCATTATTTTTTTAAAATCATATTGTTCTTGAAAATTTATAAACAAATATATTTCATTAAATTAAGATAATGCCTAAATATGCTATTGAATCTTGTCAACTTATTTTAAATCTGGTTTTAACGTTAGACAGTAGAGTCTTGTAAGGATCTACCGCTGTGGTTTTCGGTATTCTCAAAAATCCTTTCACTTTTGGAGACATTAACAGCAAATTTTGTAACAATCCATATGTACTAGACGTTGTCCAATAGAGAACCAAACACTAGAATAAGAAAAATACAATACTAATGCAGAAAAATCTATAGAAATCATACCGATGGGACACTGGCAGATATAGGAACTAAAATCACAGAGAAAACCCTGAAAGCATTTGTGACAAACTTCTGGAAACCACTCACTGGTAAATTCGGAGGTCTAGACAATTGCTGGATCTAAAATTTGTATTAAAATGTTACATTAAACTGACGAAAACGTAATAGAAAATTTTACCTCAATAATCAGTAAATTTATAAGCCCTAGGGCTACAGGAAATATCCATGATTGATCTGGAATGGTCAGGTTTGGTATAAATCCAAAACCACCCACTTGAAACTCAGTAAATATCAATTGAGCATGATAATCTGGCACTGGTAACATATAAACCATATTCCTCAAACTCACAGATAAGGATATCCATATCGGTATTTGAAACCACAACAATATTGTTGTTTTAAGTGGATGACAGTTATCCCTAATGATCAGATTATTCCACAACTTCCTCAGCTAAAAACAAACACATTGAATGAGTAATTAATAAATTTTACAAGATATTCCTCCATACTGATTTATAATATGCCCTTCTAGCTGTCGGTTCGTCCCATCCATATAATCTAACTGCTATAGCAGTCTCTTTTTTAAGTTCCTTCACCAAATCAGGTAGTTCAAGTTTTAGATTTTCTAATTTTGCTAAAATATATTGTTGATATACTGCTAAAGGTAAAGTTATAGTTGTTCTAAAATAGTTTTATTATCTACTGTTGTTATTAAATAAATGGTAAAGCAATTTGGTACCTAACAAGCACTGTAGAACAAATTATACTAGCCCACCATGGTAATCCTGTGATATCATGAATGGACAGTAAAAACTTCTGGCAATATTCAACCGGGGGACTTTCCGAAAGCAACTTAAAAATTCCAGATTGGGTTTGAGCAAATGATTCAATTGAGGATTGAACTGAGTAGCTTCGTTTTTGTGATAAATTCAGTCCATGAAAGGTTAATACTTGCTGCCCTAACAAATTCGGAGAAAAATTACATTTTCGGTTATTCTGTACATTATTTAATGAAGAAAATTTAGTTGCTTGTAACGTTTTCTCATTTTTAGTTGGTAAACAGTGCTCTTCACGTCCTAAATTCCTATTTTCATCTATAAAACTCTCAAGATTGATCTTCAAAGGAATATTTGCTATGAATGGATGTTGCAATTTTGTAGAAAGGCTCGATCGGTATATTTTAAGCATCTTGGTAAACACAGGAGTCGATCCAGGCGTGTATTACGACATTCTTCGTCGATTACCACATACGAAAACAGTTAAAATTATGTATTTGATATTCAGGCAGCAAGTTTTCTCTATTTTGGAAGATGACGTAAAGGTTTAGGTTAGGTACTGCTTGTTTACAATTTTTTGTAGGTGGTCCACGTTGCCAAGTAGTTAAGGAAGTTGTCAAAACCCTAATTTGAAATCAAATTAAATGCTTTTTTATACGAAAACCGTAGTTTATTCATAAAGAAATGGTAACTGAACGTTTTCGTTGTAATTTTATACAAATACTGTATTGATCAACAAGCATAGTTATTAAAAATCTACTATGTATTTATAAAAATCTGTACTTAAAGCACGCTTAAAGCATAAACGTTTGGCAACAGAGGGAACGTTTAACCTACATTTCTGACGGTTATTGCGATTTTTTATGGGTTTTCAGTGGCGTAGTTTCGAATCTGTTTGTTTTTGCTGGACGTTTTTTTCGTTGCTTTACCTAAAAAAGCAAATTTTCTCACATTTTGGAATAGTTCGAACTCAAGTTTGTGTCTGAAGTATCTGGTGAAATAGTTGTCAAAACAAGATAAAGTGTTATAATGAGATAAAACATGATTTACTCGGACGGCCTGTGTATAAACAACGAAAGTTAACTTCCATTTAAGGATATAGCCAGTGATTCTTTTCGTTTTCTGTTTGTAAATTAATTATATAAGAATAAAACTAGTAATTTCTCATTGCATGTCATTTATTTTGTTATTGCTCTAGGATTATTAGACTAGTTTGTACTCCTAAAGGTAAATACACTTTAATTTGTAGTGTTTGTTGTTATTTTGTTAATAGAGTTCATATTTTTAGTTAATCGTATTTCTGATACAATGGGTGGTAGAATATCAACACAAAATATCGTTGACAATGTGACAAACTTCGTAACGGGAAGAAAAAGGAAACATTCTGAATCAGAGGATGAAGAGGTCAATAAAGTGATTGAAATTGCATTACATACTCCTAAAAGGTATGTTTTTTACCCAATTTTTTTTTCTATTGTACATAAGATTATGTCTCTTATTTAGGAAGAAGTTATTATGTACTGCAAAGTACATATACCAAGCACTATTTTTGGAAGGAAAAAACTCAGACATTACAATCTGTGCTCTAGGTAAAGAACATCATTTGCATAGAGTCTATCTCTGCCAGAGTCCATATTTTGCCAGTATGTTCTTGGGATCGTGGCTAGAGACAACTCAGAAATATATCACAATTGATATAGTTGATCCACTCATTACTCAGGATTGTTAGTATTTTTTTATTTCCTGTTTAGTACCTATTATTTATTTATTTTTTAAATAGCTTTACAGGTGGTGTTCGGATCTTTATATAATTCAGACATAGCCCTAAATCCATTGGAAATAGTACCTATATTAGCTACAGCCACAATGTTTCAACTGGATGGGCTAATCGAACAGTGTACTGAAGTAATGATGGAGACAATCAACCCTAAGGTAAGACAACTCTATTGATTTTTGTTATCTCATGTTTGAAAGCATCAAAAAGTTTTATTTTACACACTTGGCTTGATGAAATTTTAAACTAAATTTAATACAATGTGATAAAAAAAAACGGCGTCAGAGATGAAATCAAGGTCGCTGTCACTTTATATGTAAAATTATATGGGGTGCAAGCTTTTTAAGAGTCAAAGCTTGATTATAAATCTCTTCGATGGAAGAAATACCATATGATCAAGAAAAAAACGGCGTCAGTTGGCTTGGAAATGACAATCAATGACATTTCTCATATAATTTTACACTTTAAGAATATTTTACATATAAAATGACAGCGATCTTCATTTCGTAGCCAACGCTGACGCCGTTTTTTTTCCATTGTATGATATATCATGAAAAAAATTGTGAGTATACAGGGTGCGTCATAATATTAGTTATATATCTTATTTACAGGGTGCTGAAAATAAGTTTATAATTTTTAACAATACTAAACTTAAAAATTAGTAAAAAATCTGTAGCTTTCTATAACTCTGTAACTTTGATTATAACTACAGGGTGTCCCAAATAAATATACATATAAATTCTGACTATTTTTTTAGACTTCACTTGACTACTATAACGCAGCCTGCCAATATGGTGATCGTAAGCTTCAAGAAGCTTGTTTTCGATGGTTTTTAATTAATTTAATGCCACACTACTTCAATCATTCCCACGCCGAACTCAAGACAATCCCCATATCTTTAATGACTAAGTTAGTAAGCCATCCAGACTTGTTTGTAATCCAGACGGAATATTCCATATATGTTATGCTGAAATACTGGATGTACCTCATACATCACATGGATGAAAATGAACCCAGTATTTCCAGTGTCAATGAGTATTTTTGTTCGCGAACTGGTAAGGACTTTTTTAACACACTCTATATGGTTGTTTTTAAATGAATGTTTTTTTTTATTATTTAGATAAGACTCCGTATTTGTACTCAATCGATGGCAGATGTTTTATCCCAGTTTTTCAAGGTCTAAGATTACAAAATCTTATCTCACATCAGCTTGATGTCTTGTTAATCATGAGGGACAATATAATCCCAAAGTCTTGGTTAAACCCCGTTGTTCTACAGCAGTGGAAAACTGTATTGAGGGTCAATCAAAATGATGACAAAGGGTACAAAAAACTAAATAAATTTCCTCAAAATATTTTAAAAAATTAAAATACAATTTTTTTTATTTTAGTCCAAACGATCTAGCCGACGAAATTTTCTTGAAAGACAGTTTGAGATGTGGGAGGGTGATAAACACGAAAGATCGTCATATATGGAGGTGGACAGGTTTTCATTTTGGCATGGATTTGCTCATGATCACTGATGGATCCAGCCTGTCCATTAAGAGGAACCACAGATCTGAATTCGAGCAGTTGTTGAGCTTCCAAACCACCCGACATGTGGCCATCAGGTAAATTAATTATTTTTATTTTTAGAATTTTTTTTCATTATATTTTAACTTTTTTTTAATTTTTATTTTTTTCTCTATTTTTTTCTTTTGTGTTTTATTTATTTTCAATTGGCACATTTGAATTTGATTTGGAATTTTGCTGATTTGTTTGACTTTTCTGAACTTCATCTGAATCATTTTTTTTAAGTTATTCTATCAAGACAGGCTTGGGTAGGTAGAAAATTTTCTACCGTATTTTCTACACGTAGAAAATTAATTTTCTACATTTTTTACATGTCCGGACGTAGAAAATTAGTTTTGTATATTCTAAGCCTTTTTTGAGTTTACATTTATTTGTTACACACTATAGTCGAAGTTTACAGATATCTTAAAAGTTTTCAATTGAAGATCAAAGTTTACATAACAATTCTATGTAATTCTGTGAACTTTGGTAAGACTCAAACAGAACAACAAAAGAAAAACATCTAACACAATGAAAGTAAGAACTAAAAACTACAATAATTATTATTATATGTATGTAGTTTATGAATCCACAGGCTTTCTATGGTAAAATTAAAAAAAGGAACAACGAAAAGAAGATTTTAGAAGTGTGAAAAAACGGCTTTAAATGTACAAAATTAATTTTGTACCTGTTCTCAGATTTTATACATTTTCTACGTATTTTTCTACATACAGGTAGAAAATTAATTTTCTACGCGTCGTTACCCAACCCTGATCCAGACCCTTTATCTCGGGAACGCGTGGACCTATCGAGTTGAAATTAAAACCATTTACTCAGGTTTACAGTCTCTTGAAGCTGTGAAAAATCAAACTTCTAAGTTAACGTAAAAAAAGATATGTTTATGCCGCCAAAAATTATATTTGGGCACTCTTGGAATCAACATTTATTGGGTATTTTCCGTTGACCCAGAACTATGAAATTTGACAAATAATACCGTTACCATTACAAATAGAGGAAAAAATTTGAAGACTATACATTTATAAGAAACTTTCTAGAAACTTTTTTAATTTGTTACATGTAAATTAATTTTAAACATTCGTTTTTTTATGTCGGATCAAATAGGGTTACTGTGGTAAGGCTGAACGAACAGAAGCAAATAATCTACACCAAACAATCAAAGATACAGAAGGTAAGTCTTTCAAAGGGTGAGGAAATCCAAATTATGTCCTTTGATAAGGATTTGGTATACCCTATTATAATATCAGCGAATATTATGTACACATCACCAGATACTGAACAGAATCAGAGTGATAATTCGTCATCACAAACGGGAGAGGGTGGGGGCACGATTGATTGATCACTAGAGAATGTTTTTGGTTAAAATTTTTTTTTTAGTTTTAATTTTTTTTCTGAAAAAAAAATAATTTTTCGGTGTATTTCTTCTAAAGCTGTTTAGTAAGAGATAGTGTTTGAAATACCGTAATATCGAGAAATTTAAAAAAATGATGTCACGGTAGACTTTGAAATTACAATTAATTACGATTAAAATTATTTCTGTCACTTGTTATAAATTGACGTAAAAATTTCCAAAAATTATTAATTAATATGGAGCTATTTTCAAAAAATAGTTTTTACTCAACGGATTTGAGTGTGAATGATTGGCGTGAGTGACATTTCGAAGACTAACATGACGCCGTTTTTTTTTCTCGATAAAATATAATCAAATGTAACATATCTTTTTCTCAAGTTTTTTTCTATAAATAAATTAAGGTAAATGTTAAGTACCATTTTTTTTTCAAAAAAAATTTATTGGAGTTTTTTTCTTACGTAATTTCAAAAATTTGAAACATTTCAGAAAATAATTGTTAATTTCTTGAACTCTTTTATCGCTAATACAAAGTTGTTTATGAAATAAGATAAATATATACTTATAAGACAACTTTGTATATTTTTTTTTCTTTAGGATTATTATTAGAATTAAAGATATGTATTTAAATTTATTTTTAATTTTTTTTCTGTTTTTATCAAACTAAATCTAGGTATAATAGGAGACAAATAAAGAGAAAAAAAACATAAACATTAGAAAACTACCTATAGTATGTCCAAAAGGAGTATCCGTGACAGTGACAGTTGAACTGTCATTTTTTTCAATGTCATCTGTCGAAATCTTTCCCGACTTGTTAACCAAACTTAAAATGTTTATAGTTTTTTGTTGTATATTTATTTCCTATTATACTATATAGATTACCTACTCAATTTTTATAGGAAAATATCTAAAAAAATGTTCATATTTTTTGAAATATATAACTATTCTACTGATTTTTTCATCCAACTAATTTTTTTTTAAATAAACCAAGTTAAAATAGCGAGAAAATAGCTTTAATAAGTTTGAAAAATCGTTTCTTTTTGTATACTTTTACTTCATTAAATTTAATTTAAAAATAAAATCACATAAGCTCTCAAAATATGTTTATAATTTTTTAGGAACTTTTATATATCAATTAATTATTTATTTTTATTTTATACAGCTCTTTATTGTGGCATGTTATAACTTAAAAACGTTAGCAAAAACGTTCTCTACATCTGTAATAATCATTTACCCAAGCAAACAGCATTACATAAACACAGATTTCTGTTTATGTCACTTACAGTTCTAGTCAGATTGTACAGCTTGTATTACCTAAGTTTGTATTGTATTGATGTTACAAAATGATAATACACATCTTTATTTCTCACATATATACATAATAATGTATAAATAGGTATAATTTTAGCTGTAGGTTGATCTTTTTGGGGTTGAAAAATTTAGTTTTCTTTTTAAAGAGGTTTTTAGTGCCATTTTTTGTTTGGCAGGGGAATAACACTTAAATTTAAGTATAAAATTATCGTTTTTTTTACTATATGTAATAAAAAACACCCTGTATTTATAAATACAGATAAATTTTGTTAGTATTATCTGTAAATTAGTATTTTTTTGGATTCCCAAAGGAAAGAAAAAGTTTTGACAAAGCACACGTTACCATATTAGTTATATTGCTATGGTGTGTTATTTTTTTATGACTCCTGTATAAGTACTTGATACGAATTTATGTATATTATTTTTGTAACGGATAAAATTATTAAAAAGTATATATAAGTGCTCTTATTATAACTAGTCTTCTAACGCTTATATTCACTGTTAATAATAAAAGTATGGTAATTGAAATAAGTTGTTTTATTTGCTTCACTACCCCCTTTTTAGATTATAAAATCTCTATATTTCCTAACCAGGGTTGCGTAAATATGCGCCTGTTCTTGTTTTTTTTACGTTTTTGTTCAAAATACCCGTAAAAAATGTAAAAAATAAAAAAAGAACAAGAATATTTCACTTCGTTTCTCTTCGTTGGCATACATATTTCGTCAAAAACTATTTTTACACGTAGAAAATAGTTTTTACACGTTAAGAACTAGTGTTTTACTTTCACATCCCTGCTTAAATAATCTTTATGTTTTTTTCTCTGTGTAAATTCTAATTAGGCTTAGCAAGGGTTTCACAAAGTAACAAAATTAAGAAAAACTAGACCACTCTGTATATATCTTAAATTTATAGTTTCTGATCGTTTTTCTGTCAAATTCACTGTCATGCAATGGCAAGAAATCGAGGTAAACTATATAAACCCTTTAATATTTCCTTTAAACAAATTCTGCGTCTTAATTTTGTAGAAAAAATCGACATTTACGATCAAGAAACTTCGATTTTAAAACTTCCCAGGCATGATTGGAAAAGGGCCCAGAAAAGACATTTTCCCACCATTACCAACAGCTCTGTTATATACTTTGAACCGATAAAACCCCCCAAAAGGACAGCTCAATTAGACTCGTTCTATCGTCAAGAACGCCGACATTATCCATGTCTATTTACCAAATCTTATTTAAATGATTATTTTTAAATAAAAATTATCCCTCTTATAATTTTTTAATGGCCCCTCGTAAAAGAACTTTCATCGATCGACGCGTCATCGAAGTGACGTAGTTCGTGCCATCTGTCAAAACAAGACGAGAGTTTCGCATATAAAATGCAACGAAATTAGGTGAAATCTTCGAAAATACTGCCGAAAACATGTCCGAAAGTGAACTAGAAAGTGCGATTTCCATTCTGCAAGTGTGTGGAACTTCAAGAAACGTTTTAAATGCCCTCATATTGATTCGACAAAAAGTGGACTGGCCCAGAGGTCAAGAAAACGTTGCCATACTTCGCTCGAAGGGATGCTTGAAACAACTTACGCATATTTTGGTTAAATCTCCCCATAAAAGCTGTATAGACACGTCGTTGAGTATTTTAGGAAATTGCCTGATGGACAGAGCCTGTACAAGCGAAGTGGTAAGTTTATTTACATGTTTTTGTACTGTATTTAAAAGACGCAGATGTGGAATTATTTGTTTAACTTGACAACGTTGCAAAGGACTTTAATAATACGAGGGTACATCGTAAAATATATTGTTTTTTTTTGTAGGGCTCACAACACAATATTTTATCTGTTTTAAACCAACTGCTTAAAAAATACCCGAAGGATGACAGTATAAATGGAAGAACGTTAAGAATCATAGGCAACATGTGTCAACATAGAGATCAGTGGGCTAATATAATTATAGACCGTAAACCAGCATTGGTGGTGAATGCAGTTGATATAGTTAATCGAGCATCTAAAGATGAACTTTCTGAAGGTGACAAAATATCTGAAGCGACTATTATCACTTCATTAAGGGTGTTTAGGTATTTCTCTCTACCTTTTTTTTATATATTCTCGAAATTTAATTGTTAATATTTTTAGGGAATTGCTTAATTGTAATACGGTAATGACTTTAGTTAAGAACATGGGTGTTCTGAAAGCTGTTGGGTGTTTATTTATAAAATACAGTAACGATTGGAGGGAAAACAAGACAAATGAGAAGATAGTTTTGGATATTGTTCGAGTAATTCATGAGTATTCGAAATATAAGTATTATCACTCTATATTAGAGGTAAGTAGTCTTATTTGATAAATATGTACCTTTTGGAAGACATTTTTATACATAGATGAGGAATACTGAAAGAGGGGATTCGCTACTCCATTTGACAACGGTGTTGATTCTGGCACCGAAACGTATAGTTAAAATAATTATGAACTTCATAAAGAGTTGCCAGTTAAAGTCTGAACTACCAGTGAATGAGATATGTACAAAATTCATTGAAGTTTTAGAAAATCATTCGATTACAGAGGGTAAGAATGTCTTAAGTAGTTTATTAAACAGTTTAATTTTAATACTCTTTTTTTTTACAGAGCTTCCTAGTAATTACACTGAATACTTGCAGTGTTTCTGCCTATTACTCGACCATCCCGCTAATAGAAATGCCGAAAGATGCGGCAAGGCTGTGCCGTTGCTAATAAAAGTCCTTAAAGAACTAGATCAACCCTCAAATAATGTGGTAAGTCGAAATTTCGTTTAAATTTTTTCTTAGAGAGTTCATTTTGACGTTTTTTTTTTCGATCGTATGGTACCTGCACAAACCAGGCTAGCACAGGCGACTTGAGCGATAAAACTGAACGTCTGTGGGGGCCTTAAGAGTCTATTACGTTGTACTGTTCGTGTCGCTCTCAGGGTTCGGGTAAAGGGGATGTGTGGCTGAAGGAAATATATATTATATTTCAGAAATCTGGCTAAGGCTTATTTTTGCTTATTATATTGATCCTGTCGTATTAAGCCACGCCCGAAATTCCAAGCACACGTGCTTTGATTAAGGCTTGATTAAGGTTTGCAGAGCTTCAGCATTTGCCATAAAATAGCGAGCAATTTGTTACAAAACCATATAAATTATACATCACTGTAATCACAAAATTTCAACCTATTTACTATTGTAACAAAATTTTAAATTATGTCTTTATTTTCGAGAAAATTTAGTACAAACATAAGGAATATTTTTTGATGTTTGACCATCAAAATCTTAAAAATAAAGAAGTTGTCTAAAAATGTGCTACAATACGGATATAGTATAATCCTTTATCTTTAATTTCCTTCTTTATTTGTGTAAAAAATACCTAGTCAGTTTTACATAAAACGTTAAATGCCGAACGCTTATTTTGATACTTTTTCGGACTGGTGAAATGGACTCTTAAGAGTATTACCACAGAATTTCTAGCTACGCAACAGAAAAATACTCGAAATGCTAAAATTGCACAAATAGAATACTAGATGGCGCGACAATATCATAATCAGAATATAATTAGAAATTTTGAACTTTCGGTTTTGGATCGACGGCTCGTGGACGGCCTTATAGCTCGGCTAAATATGCACAGTTGCCAGATTCAAAAAGACTTAAATTGGCATCCCATTCTTTTTATTGTGTATAATAAAGTATGTGTTTCTTTCTATTCTTCTTTTCTTGTCAGATACACTTATATTAATTATTCCTTTGGCTATTAAAATAGTTTTAAGTATATTATTACAAAACATATACATTTTTTATATACACTACCTTATAATGTTAACTAAGAAAATACCTTTAATTACCTTTAAAATTAATAACATACAGGGCGATTGGCAGTGATATTTATTAATGCAGGAACGTTAGTAATGAAATATAAGTTTAATAATAATGGAAATAATTTATTAAAATGCAGTACAAAAAATGTTAACTGACTAAAAATACTATAATAACAAATTTCTTCCGTTTGCCACGTTATTTATATAGACCTAGGTAGATTTTAAAAAGTGACACAGGTACAATTAATAATATATTAGTTGGGCATAAAAGTTGCTGTCACGGCATCGAACAATAAATTAAAATTCGTAAAATAAATTAAAATTATTAATTAAACAAATCTTTATAAAGAAACGCAAGTATACCAAATTTGGGCCCAATCGAACTCCAGGAAATAATATCATAATAGTGTACTATATTATGGTACCACTCGGTATGCTTTAAGGTACCATAATATTGCAATGTCACCGAAGATCCGTAGTATACCAAATTTAAGAACAATCGAACGCCATGAAATGGTATCGTAATATGGTACTATATTAAGGTACCACTTTATATACATCATAGTTCAATCATATTATAATGTAACCGAAGATACGTAGTATACCAAGTTTGAGCCCAATCGAACGCCAGGAAATGGTATCGTAATATGGTACTATATTATGGTACCTCTTATTATGCTCCATGGTACCATAATATTACAATATCACCGAAGATACGTAGCATCCCAAATTTAAGCCCAATCGAACGCCATGTACATAATATGGTACTATATTATGGTACCAGATGATATGCATCATAGTACCATCATATTACAATGTCACCGAAAATACGTAGTATACCAAGTTTAAGCCCTATTGCCGCCATGTACCTAATATTGCTATATGGTACTATAGAAGGTACCACTTTATATGCTCCATGGTACCATGATATTACAATGTCACTGAAGATATAGTATACCAAGTTTAAGCCCAATCGAACGCCATGTATCGTAATATAGTACTTACTATATTATGGTATCACTTGATATGCTTCTGAAAAAAATGGCGTCCAGTTGGCTGGAAAAGGACGATCGATGACATTTCCCTTATAAATTTACATATAAAATGACAGCGATATTCATTTCATAGCTATCGCTAACGCCGTTTTTTCCCGATTGTACGATATGAACTTGGTAACACAATCGAACGTCAGGAAGTGGTATCATAATAGTAGAACAATACTTATTATATTGTCGCCGAATTACAATGAAACAGCTCCTGATCTATTTTAATATGTTTAAATGATGTAGCAAATTTGAAGGTAGGCTTTATCAGGAAGTATTACGATATGAATTACACAATGGCAACACTGCACAAAATTCTTTTAAATTTTGTTTGTAGAAAACTGCTTTCTTTTAAATTTATTGCCCTCTATTATGTAGTAGTGAAACTACCACATCAAAATATCTGATTTGGAGACAGGCTTTTAAAGCCTGTCTCCTTTTGTTACCTACAATTTTATACATGCAACGAGGCTTCTGTAGAGTAGCTAGATATTCTGTGGTATTACTCAAGGTGTAGAGACACCTTACTTAGTAGAGATAAAATAAATGTTTTTTTTAGGTGGAATCTTGTGTTATGCTTTTGAATACGCTGAACAAATTCAAGTACGATCCGAAATTGTTACTGGACCAATTACAAAACGGCATTGTGCCAGTTTTGATCGAGAAATTGACCTGGTTGGTCGGCGCTCCGGACAGTTTGAACTTGAAACATCTCAGCGAGAAAAAACGGAAGTATTACGCTCACAGCAGTCCGATAGTTAAAGTTAAAAAGAAGCGTATAGAGGGTGATGTAAGCAGAAATAAAAAAATTGCAATTTAAATAGATTTTATTGGCTTCTTTTTTATTTTTTTAGCTGCCTAGGGAGTGCATTCTAAAGTCTCCATCGCCATCTTCGAGCGACGATGAAACGGATATGCTGTACGACAGGTTTTTGAATCGTATTTGCAACCGGTACGACCGAAGTCCAAGTTCCTGTTCGAATTCTTCCGACGGTAATCCTCCGCTGTCTTGGGGCGAAGCTAGTTCTAGTTGCAGTCCTGCACCTTCCCTAGTCGACGGTAAGTTGCGGATAATAAATAGTAGGGATGTGCAAAAGTATCGATATTTTAAATATCGATATCGACGTTATCGATATTTTTTTGTTTTTCAAATGTTTTTAAATCCGTTATAATATTGTACAAAAAACTATCTACTCCTTAGTTATTAAAATACTGACTTTTTAAGTAATTTGGCGTTACTAAATAGTACAGTCGTGCAAAAATAACGATATTTAAATTTTGATATCGGTTTTTTTTTAAATATCGAAATTTTTATTCTTCAATTTGGCGTAATTAAATAATTAGAAAAAATGTCTATGTGTACTAAATAATAAATAATTAGAGAGGCACAAAGATGTCGTCAAATTAGATATCGATGTCGTTCTTTGAAATATCGATAATTTTAATTTGTCAAATTTGTGAAAATATAAAATATCCAGTCTATATCGATATTTTAAATGTTGATATCGATTTTCTTAAACATCGAAATTTTTATTTCTCCATAATATATAGATTTTTCAATTCGGCGTAATTAAATAGGGAGGGACGTACAAATATATCGACATTTAAATATCGATATCGGCCTTCGAAAGTGTAGGTATTTTTTTTTAAATCAAACAAAAATATAAAAAATAGTCATTATATATTTTAATGTCGATTTTAAAATATCGGTATCGATATTTTTTTAATCGATTATAATATTATAAAAAACTATCTAGTCCCTAGTTATTAAAATACCGACTTGTTAAGTAATTTAGCGTTACTAAAGAGTAGAGACGTGCAAAAATATCGATATTTAAATTTTGATATCGATTTTTTTAAATATCAAAACTTTTATTTTTCAAATTGGTGTAATTAAATAATAGAGACGCGCAAAGATGTCGTTCTTTGAAATATCGATAATTTTAATTTGTCAAATCCGTTAAAATATAAAAGAAATTCCATATGAAACTATCGAATTTTTAAGTAATTTCGCGATACAAAATAATAGGGTCGTGCAAAAATATGGATATTTTAAATGTTGATATCGATTTTTTTCAACACCGAAATTTTTACTTCTCCATTCCTATTCAAAATATAGATTTTTTTAATTCAGCGTAATTAAATTTGTTAAAATATTATAAAAAATATCCAATCTATATTTTGTCAAATATCTTTTTTTGAAGTAATTTGCGTTAATTTATAGTAGGGTTGTACAAAAATATCGAAATAGTAAATATCGATATCGATTTTTAATTATCGATATCGATTTTTTTAAATATCGCTAAAAGTCGATTTCTATATTTAAAAAATAGTTATTTTTATTGTTTTTCTTTTGAATTTTTCCAGAATCAGATTCTGATAACTATTCACCAGTATGTAGTGAATCTGACGAAAGAGATTTTCCCCTACCAAATCCTTTGGATGATTATTCAGATCCAGCGCCTCCTGTACCAGATTTGGACGATTCTATGGACAATGACGATACTTTAGAAGAAGTTGAAGGTAAGATATTTGTCACTTGTATTTTTTGTCCTATCCCTTGATATTTCTGAATCAAAAATTTAGGGTTTATTTTTTTATTTCACATGGAATATTTAAAATATTTAATTTCACATATAAGTGCTTCTTTACTTCCAGAATCTAACCAGGCAGTGTGCGACACTTTAAAAATCGAACTCATGATGGAAATAATGAAACTCGTGAAGAGTTACATTCAGCTGAAGCCCGCAGTTCCTCAACTGGTCAACCTAGATCTGTTCATGCAGCTCACTAAGTGCGCTTTAAAAAATACCTACGACTTGGAAATGTTTTGCGACCTTCTCAGGTAAGTTAATTTTTTTCTCAAAGATGCCTATTTTATATGTCTTGATCTCTTATCTATGATAAACACTACATTAAATATCAGATTTTGCTAGATCTCTGTATACTGCGATATACATGTTTACTTATTATTTTGATTTATATCTTGCAGCAATCACGAGTATATCATTCCTCTAATGCAAACCGACTTCGTCCACATCATATGCTCGATTAGAGACTCTTTACCAGCTCATGAATTCTGCTTCAAATGTTCAATAAATAACCACGTGACCGCATCGATTTTGAACAAAATATCCGAGGTGGCAGAATCGGCAGCGGGTAGGGGTGAGATCGCGCACAAACTGATGAGGGGCGACAACAAATTGAAACAGAAAATTGTCATGGTCATTCCCTACATCATAAGGTAGGTTATGTTATGTTGTTGCTACTTTGAATAAGAAGACTAAGGAAGAGGCATATCAAAAATCTTAGGTCCACCGCGATGGGCCTCAAATATGGCCGACTTAAATTCCGGTTTATCAGTGCCGTTCTAATTTTATTTAAAAAATGTAAAACTATGTTGTAGGGTAGACGTAGGATAGACTCAATGTTTTTTTTTATTTTACGTTGTGAATAAATGTTGGTAGTTATTAAAATTGTTATAAAAATATAAAATTCAAATAAAAATAGATAAGTTATAATAATTATTTATAACCATAAACATCCGATACGCTACTGAAGCAGGTAAGTCAAATTGACGTATCTAAATTCTTTGACATATAATCTTTGACAAGGATTAAATAAAAACAAAAATGCAAGAAAAAATATGTAATTAGTTAATTTAAGTGAATTTCATAAATGATCGGTTTACTACACGTATGTATATTATATAGTCACTTACTAGCGAAAAGTTGTTCCATTATTTCACTCGATTTTTGCCGAGATCTACCGCACGCTACACAACCAACTATTTTACAGTTTTTTTCGATAAACCGCGATAGTGTCACTGTTAATTTAAGTTCTGCCACAATTTCCATCAAGATTTCCTACCTTTATACAACTATCAGTAGTAGAATAAATAATAAATAATATAAAATAAGCTCCTTAAAGACTGACAAATCCACAAAATTTCAAATCAAATTTAAATGTGTCAAATGAATCGTCAAACAGAACTGTCAAGGATCCCCACCCTAGAGTCCTTTTTCCGCCCACCATGCATGAATACATGGATAGCATTACGCTCCTTCCTTAGTCTTCTTATTCAAAGTGGTGCTACTACTGCTACATAAATTTTGCGGATATAGAAATGACGAAAGGCGTTTTTGAGGATGTTTATTTAATAATAGTCAGGGAAACATGCTAATCTCTATTACTTTTTCACAGAAATCGTTCGATTCTCGGCAAATTCATGCTGAACTGTGGCGGTCTTGAAATCCTCATGACGATGCTTCGTCATAGAAACGAACAAGAAAATCGACGCAGCCTGAAGACGCTGTGTCAAATGGCCAGCCACAGGCTCTTAATAGCCAATCCCAGGGAACTGTCCAACACCCTAAACAAACCGAAAATCGTCGCCAACAAATACAAACCTCCGGAACCGCACAAGAACATCGTCAGCTTCGTTTTGGACGATGAAAGTGTCGTTAAAGCCGACCGAGACTTCCTCAGTGCGAAATCCGACTTTTTTAACGGTCTCCTCAACGGACATTTCAAGGAAAGTACCGAGTCCGAGGTGGTACTGGCCAAAGTCGACTCGAAAAGCTTCAAATGTCTGCTGCATTTGTTGGAGAACGTCGATAGAACTGAGACGATCGAGATAGATTTGGACTTGGACGCTTTGCTGGACGTTATAATGCTGTGCGATCGGTTTCTTTTGACAGAACTATGTATGGCGCTCACAGATTCAGTGGAGCAGTACCGGATAACCACCAAAACAGTTCCAATGATCTACAATTGGAGTGTCGTGTCCGCTACAAACCTCCTAAGAGTGGAAAGCGTCGCCTACGCTCTGGTAGTCAGAGTTGACGAGAAAGAACGATTCTCGATGTTCGAGAATTTGTTTCGGTTGGGTTGCAAGGATCAGTTGTTGGAAGACATGCAAAATTTGCTCGTGAGGTACCTGACATTGAGCGATTACAACCAGAGAGTGAGGGATTTGTATGGGAAGAGGAAAAACATGAAGGATCGGATGAGAGACCAGCTGCTGAAAGAGTATGTTTAGTAATTGTAAGTGTTTTGTGTAATAATAATTATTTTAAAGTCTGTGATATGATATAGTTTAAATTAAGTAATTGTTTAGGTGTATATTGACGTATAAATGACTTATTTCTATAAAATAATTCTAATAAAATAATAAATTTCTATCAATATTCTTTCATATATTTGCATAAGTTATACATAAATGGCGATAAACAAAAATTCTAATATTCCACAAATTTGTTCAGTATTAAGTTCAATTTCTTCTAAGGTTTGTAAATGAACCTGTAAAATCTCAGCTATTTTTTCTATCGAAAAAAGCAGTTAAAGATATGCCATTATTTTGACCATATTAGCTATAAATTCGTTAAAGTCACCTCTGTATCTTCTACTAACTTAAACCTAGAATATATAATTTTTGTTAGTGTATTCTAGATATTTTTGTAAAGTATAGGAATTCCTACGAGTCCTGTCTAATAAATCAGTAAGAGCTTTCTTTGTCCCTTGACAATAACATTCCATTTTAGGGCATTATGCTTTAGCATTTCCAATCATATCCTCTATCTGCCTCTATACAACGTACAACAAACATTCCATTTTATTTAGTGCAGTAAGTGGGTTTGTTTTTGAAAACTGATTTAATCCTCCAAATTATTTCCCGTAAGAGTGAACTAAAAATGCAGCATTAGTGTGTATAAGGATATAATAAAACTAGTGTGAATACTTTTTCTTGAATCCTGAGCGTTTTTCATATAAAAGGTTTGGATTCTTTAGCTTGTAAACCAAAAATATTTTCAGTAATCTCGAAATCTCTGGCTGGTCTCTGGATAGAAAATAGAAATATTTGAATTTTATTTACTATTGCTGTACCATGGTACAAAGAATACAAGGTATGATATTGCGCAGGTTGGTCGCTACGTCACAGGTGATAACTGGCGCTATTGGTCAGCACTCTCCGCGCGCCAGTTCAAATCGTCAAGATATTGTTATAAACCTGTTTTTTTGTTTATGTACCGTCATTGAATTATCGCTAAGCAAGTTACTGTGGAGCAGTGCGTAAGGAGTCGGGCTAGGAAGCGAGAGACCTGAGTTCGAATCTCGGCCGGGACATAACTTTTTATTTATTTTTTAAATACTGTTGTATTCTATAGTTTATTTTTGTAGTATAAAAAAAAGAACTATTTATTCTGTTATTTTTTAATCTCCGGTATTAATATAAATTGATTGTTGGTACAACACCTCATTTAATATAAAATAATATTCTACTTTTTGAAATGTATCGGGCACTAATTGTACCTAAAAGTAATATATTTTTAGTGATATACCATATTGTAAACTATTTAATATTTCAGTCACTTAAAAAGTTAATTTGCATTGAATAATTGCCTACCATTAAAGGAAATTTGAGCTATATAATCCTTGATGGTCATATTCTGGGTATGCAAATACTTCCTCTAAATTTTGGGTTTCGTTCAACCGATTTATTCTCAAAACCTGAAACATCTACATATAAAAAGAAGCACAGGTCACTAATTATAATAGACTTCACCCTTGGAATTACTTCTATCACAATTACAATACATTCATCTGCATTGGCATTTTCTACTTTTCGATGGGAAACTTCAACTTCCCAACATTTTTTAAATGATGTAACAATTCCTCTTGTGGTTACTTTTCCATAGATATCCTCATCTCTGTCCTCATGTGAATTCAGAGGCAATGAACATGAAAATTATTTACCATAAACATCGCAAACTAAAAACCTAATAAACAATTTTATACCGAATATAGAAATAAATTCAGTATTCTTACCTATTATCGTCCAAATCCATGTTAATAGATAATTATTTTTAAATATATTTTTGGAACTGCTGGTTTTAGTAATTATTAAATTAAACGAACTAAAAAGTTTTAAAAATAAACAATTCTTAACCATAACCCTAAAAAATGCAGATCTCCTGTCAACTTTCTTTATTTTTTATTTATTCATTATTTTCCTGGTGACGTCACAGGTGGTATGCGCGAACTGAACGAAATTGGAGCCGCTATCGATCATACCTATATCATACCTTGTATTCTTTGTACCATGTTGCTGTACTTCTTTATTTTTGTTGTCTTTGTCTAATAATTAACCATAGATTATATTCTGGAATCTCTCTTTTTAATTATTTTTTTAGGACACTGGCTGGATGACCCGTATCAATTCAAGCCATGTAAAATTAAAGAAGAGGAAATATATGCCAGATCTGTGGTTGTAGATGTTTTAAGCCTTAAATTTAAAAAAGAAGAAGAAACTTTATTTTGATTCTGTGGTTACGGTTCTATTAAGACCTGAAATACGGAAAAGAAGAATTTCCAATGTTGCCAAGACCTTAGCAAAATCCTGAAACTAATCTAAATCAATATTTTGGTAAGTCTAAAATGAATTGAATCGATACAAAATCATGATAAATCTAATAAACATTTAATATAAACTTTGTTTCAGTACTTTCAGTAAAATAAATAACATATTTTGTTTTAGACACGACATTATTCATGCAGCAAAAAATGACAAGTGCATCCAAGCTGACAACGTTGGCGCCATACATTTTTCCGTTTTTTAGAGGAAGTTGTTATGCCATTCTTACAATTTTTCTGATTTTTATATGGAAAAAGTGATTTTTCTGTGCACTATATAAGTCTGTTCTGTTTCTTAAGGCCTGTTTAATCTCCTGAAAATGTAAGTACCCATTATTTTGCCTGTTTTCTATAGATTTTTTCACTTTCAAATATTCCAATTGCATCATCATTAAAAGCTTATTTTTCTAATCTTCATAATTTTCGTCTTCTAAATCGAGTATATGGAAATATAGATAATTCCTTGATGTCACTATTGTACAATAGAAGTAAAGTTACTTTAGATTAATGCTTCATACTTAGAAATAGGTACTTGGTATTCTTTCAGCCATGTCTCTGTAGAGTTTAAAGATGCTTTTTATTCCTAAAGGTAATTTTTTTAGGTGTTTGTTAATTCATACCTTGTTCGTACAGACCTTACAGACAATCAAGTTTTTCTACATCATTTAGATTAAAGTCAGTGTTAGTATAGTCAAAGTTGCCTCCATTTCTCCACGTTTACTAATACCCGTAAAACTTTCAGATTAATAAACCATTTTTAAGTTTTAAATACTGTATGATCGAAAAAAAAAACGGCGTCCAGTTGTCTGGGAAATGACGATCGACGACATTTCCCATATAAATTTACATATAAAATGACAGCGATCTTCATTTCATAGCCATCGTTGACGCCGTTTTTTCTGGATCATACGGTATATAAGTATATCACTATCGTGATCTGCACAGACTGTGTCATCTGTTAGTCAAATTTGCTATGTTTTAATATAATGCTTTAATTTCTTTCTTTTTTAGGAGTATTATTAATACACACCCATCCTGCAAAGACCACCTAAAATAGAAGAGATCTGGATCACCTCTTAAATAATTCTGATGTTTGGCTATCATTCCAGTTTACGAGATTGATTTCACATTATCCAAATAAAGGTTAGTTTATTTTATTATTTAAAAACAATTTTAATAAATTTCTTAACTGGTTAGGCTTTCTTAACCGCTAGACTAACCCTATTTTAAGATATATTTAATATTAAAATGAAACAAAAAAAAACAATTTATAGCATACCTAATTAATGAAATGTAATGTAATATTATGTATTTCTTTTTTACAGCTTTTGTACAACAAATCAATGGATGTATACAGTTCCAAGGCAGTACATTTATCCTTTTGGTGAATATCATATTAACAACAATGTGCACCAGGACAGCTGCACTTCAATTCAACCACTCTGTCTTCAAGATGCCATTATGTTGATTACATTCAACAGTAGATTGAGGATGAAATTCATCATGAAGAGGAACTAAATAACTTTAGGTAAATTGTAATAAAGGGTGTTTTTTTTAACAAATATATTCAACCTCGTATTGTATTTTGTAAAATATATGATTAATTTCAAATAATTATAGTTTATCATCTGATTTTCTTTAGTTTAAGGCGACTATAAATACTTTTAACTGTGTATCGCCTATAAGATGATAAACATTTTGTAATTTGTAACAGTTTGTTAATTATAATAATTCAAATATTTCTTAATTACAAAAACAGCTAATTTAACCAAGTTTTTTCCAAGGAGGTTACTTTCATAGAGAAAATGGGATATATCCTCTATTATAGATGCGGGATAACAGCGGTATCAGGTCTAAGGAGAGACCAAGTTAAAGAGGTGGAGAAAATGGAGACATATCCTCCAACCTCCAGCTTATGGGTATCTCAGCCGGAGATAAGCTTCTGGATTGTGAAGATCTCGGATGGCCAATCCCCATCATGAAATGATGTTTACCCTCCGAGGAGGTAGATGTCCACTCCTTGGAGGGAGAACATCTGTTGTAAGAGGAGGATGGGAAATACCCTGTCCCCCCTACAACATGAAAATCCCCGTATATGATGAGTTATAACTCCCACTCATTCCACATTCTACATGTTCCCTACCAATTAACTAGTTATCTATGTCCCTACCAATTAACTAGTCATAGATGTAACAGCTTTTAATCAAACTTGTTAGTGAACAATTAATTAATTATATTTTTTTTTATTTTTCTTACAGAACCGAGACTTTCCAGAAGTATGGCCAGAAGATTTATTCACCTCAACATACGCATCAGCATGTCCATCAAGACCTTGGATTGAAGACACTTTTAATATTACTGTTGTTAATAAAATATAATATACTAATAAATAATAATTAATAATAAATGAGTTTTATTGGACTAAAATATATTATACTGTCTATTCGTGAACAAATCGAAAATGCTTTTAACTATCACAATTATAAATAAATAATATATTCTCATACTAAACTACTTAACAAGAGTTGTTCTGGAGTGGACAGTATTCTATAATATCTATTCCTACCCTTCAAAATCCAACATTTGAGAGATCGAAAGAAAGTTTATCAGAGCATATTTGACTTGGTAAATGCTCAGATATTTAGATCAAAAATTTTCAACTAAATGGTGAATGTAACTGCTTACTCCCTGGTATCAAAATATATCTCCTCGCTCTCATATGTTGCTGAAAATAATTCCAGATCCCTCATTTTTAACAAAAGTTGCCCAAAATAATTTCTGACCAGCAAATTTTGGAGAACCTGACCAACGAGCTCGAACAGTTAGATTTTTTTGGAAAAACGGCCATAACTTCTAAACTAAAAGAGATATCGAGGAACGGAAGCCGGCAATCGATAGGGAATTAAATTCTCTATAAGGGTGCAAATTTAGGGGATGATCGGAGCAAAAAAAAATTTCTCGGCAAAAATGAAGGAAGGTTAACCCCTTACCTCATTTTTCGCCAAAAATTTTTTTTGTTTCCGATCTCGCCCTCATCTTGCGCCCTTATAGAGGGTTGAAATGCCTATCGATAGCGCTGTTCCGTTCCCCTCCAACCCTTATAGTTTCCGTGATATTAGGGGTTGAATTTTTCCAACGAGGTCGAATTGCTAGAGATAGCAGAAAAATCGTTGATTAATGCTTTATTTAGGTGTGCTACTAAATTTACTTTTTACCTCTTCACGCTTATGCTATCCTGATAGAAATCGGCGATTTTTGAGCCGGTTTAAAAATTTTCGTGTAGTCTGTCAAAAAGTGAATTTTCTCGGACTTGTATCAGGAGTACATGAGAGCGCCTAGGTAAATATTATCTCTTCACACTTATATGTTCCTGATAGAAATCATAATTTTGAATAAGGATTAAATATGTTCGTTAAATTTTTGTTAAAAGCTGAATTTTCGCGGATTTGTATCAGGAGTACATAAGAGCGAAGAGGTATATACTTTAAATTTTTCATGCAATTTTTGCTAGGTTGAAATACCAGGGATTTGTATTAGGAGTGCATAAGAGTGAGGAGGTAAAAGTAGCTATTATTTTTATATAAAATACTGTCTATTCCTGAACAACTTGTTACGTGATTAGACGGTATTTCGAATATATTTTTTGAATAAAACTCATTTATTTTTAACGACTCTTTATTAACATATTAGTTTGTATTAACTATATTAAAATCCCAGGTCTTGATGGAGATGCTGATGTCTATGTTGAGGTAAATAAATCTTCCGACAACCCTTGTGGAAAATCTTGGATCTGTAAGAAAAAATAAAGAAATAATTAACATTAATTGATTACAACATGATCGAAAAAAAAACGGCGTCAACGATGGCTATGAAATGAAGATTGCTGTCATCTTCTATGTAAAATTATATGGGGAATGTCATCAATCATCATTTCCAAACCAACCGAACGCAGTATTTTCGATCATACGGTATAACTTTTAACTTAACAAAAAAAAATATGGTTAAGTTAGTTGTATTGGTAATTAAGAAATATTTTCGTTAAAATAATTAAAAAACAGTTAAAAATTAAATTAAAAATTAAGTCTATAGGCAACTCTATATACACGTTAAGGTATTTCTGGTTGCCTAAAACAAAAAATTATGTAAATAATGTATTTACAGTTGCATAAAACTAAAGTAAATTGTGCGCCAAAATATTTTATTTAAAATTAAACATTTATAGCTACATATTTTACAAAAGACAATAATTATTGGGTATTTATTAAACATATTCGACCTTAAAAATACACATTTTAGTGTAATTTACCCAAAATTAATTAGTTTCCTCTTCAATTATGAATTTCATCCTCATTCCACTGTTAAATCTTGAATTTAATCAGTCTGATGGCCTCTTGAAGTGCAGCTGTCCCAAAAAATCCTTGTTCCAAAGCAGTACAATATCGCATCCAAAAACTCAATTTTAAATGGATTTAGAAACAAAATGAAGAGAAAATCAATTAGAAATAATTCCAAAATTATAAATTCTGTGTAAGCATCAATAGAAATGAAGGACTTGGAATCCTTAGGGGGAGAATAGCAGTAATATAAACAATAATATAAATAAAGAGATTTATAAGTACAAACACAAAAGGCAAATAATAAATTACATTTAAGAATAATTAAGTTTTACTCTGTATGGTCTGATTAATTGAAAAAAGTGATTGAAAATGATTCCAAAATTACAATTCTATAATGATAATACAGATAAAATACCTTGGAGAAGTCTTGACACAACGAGATGATACAAGTAAATGATAATTGATAATTCAGAAATACTTAAAATAATAATTTTCATAGAATGAAGATAATATCGTAGAAAAAAAAGAATTAGAGGTATGGGGAATTAAAATTCAATTATACTATACGAAGACTTATAAATACAATCAAAAGAAGAGTTCATAGAATTGAAAGATGACATTCCCATAAGGAAGAATATATGTGAGAAAAAAAAGTGAAATAAATAAATGGTGGAGAGTGGGTAAAATGACAGAAAATAGAATAGAATCACAAAAAATATACAGATATATTATAAGACAGTCATTAGAAGAGTAGTCAGAAGTAATCAGAATGGAAGAGTCAGTCGTTGGAAGAGCATAATATATAGAATTGATGAATGATATTCCAATAATAAAGAATATATGGCAGACAAAAATAGAGAGGTAGGCCAAAAGGAAGGTGAAGAAAAAAGTATTAGATGATACTAAAAAAATAGAAAAGTATGTGGTGAATAAAAACTGGAAAATTTACTAAAGATTATGCTTGGCCACCTCTACCAAATATCTAGTCAAAATATGACTCAAGCACATAAAGAAAAATCCTCCAGAGCATATAAGTTCGCCCCCCTTCATCAGATTTGACCCTTGGCCGACGATTAAGCCTCACCAGTCAGTTCCCATCCCAGCTAAGCAGCCTCGTCTCGGGTCACCCTCGTCACCCGTCGGACAGACATCCACCGGGACCCCTACAGGCGGACCCCCTCATCATCTTCAATGTGTCCGATATCCCGCCCCTGCCTCTTCGAGGGTCACGGAATACGTGCACGAAGAAGTCTCGAGCTTGGGTGCCAGGTCGTATCCGGCCGAAGCCTCTAGCGTTAGAACACCTAGCTCGTAAACCAGAGGGTGGTGACTCCCTTGGGTACCTCTGCATGCTACACAGGTCATCGATGCCCGAACATCAGGGTTAGGGGTGACCCGGGTCTCCCTCCTCTTAGGGAGGCTAGCTATGATGCTCTGGAGTCGATGTTACTGAGGAAAATTCATTGGAAAAATGCTAGGAAAAACAGAACGACATATTAGACATCAGGTTTTTGGAATGAATGGCGAATGCGCCAGGAATTAATGGGAAATTAGTTTATTTGGAGATTTTTAAGTGTATTATTATTGTGTTTAAATTATATTGACACACAGGCAAACCAAATCAACAGAATGAAAATGAATCAACAGAAAATGGAAACAGAATCCGTAAAATTATGGCAATTCATGGCATATCTGAAAATGACATGAAAATGAATCAAAACTATCTCTGAACAAGGAACTGCACAAGAAAAAAAGTATTAGAAAAATAACTCAATAAAAAAAATACAAATAAAAATGACTTACAAAAATAGTCAATGGAATATTGCAAAGAATTGAAAAATTATATTCTTGCCACAATGGAGGAAATATGGCAGTCAAGCTATTATAAAGAAATGAAAGTAAACCAGCAACATGAAGTAAAATTCTAAGAAAAAAAGAGATAAAAGCAAAATTGGCCTAAGTAAAAAATAGATGGTCTCTGAAATAGTCAATTATAATAAGGAACCATTAAAATATAACTCAGAGGCTCATTGGAATTTCTTTCTTGCTTAAATGTAAAATTTTGAAATCCGCTGATGAACAGAAGAAACATCATCAAACGGATAAATCTACAATCTACTGCTTTGGAACTGTATGCATCCATCGACTTGTGGAAAATCTGTAAAAAAAGAAATAAATAGCATTAAGTTTTATTATAATGTATATCTACATATTTTACAAAAACACAGTAATATTAGATATGTATTTAATAAAGATATATTTAATTATTAAAAAAACTTTTAGTATCACTTACCTCAAATTATTTAGGTGCTTTTCAATGATGAATTTCATCCTCATTCCACTCTTGAATGTTGAATTTCATCAACCTAATGTTATCTTGATGAGGGCGGTTGACTTGGAATACAGTTCTTTCAAAAAATCCTTGTTCCAAAGCAGTACAATATCCCAATCAAAAACTCAATTTTAGAATTACAAACGGAATGAAAAGAAAGTAATTAGAAAATAAATCCAAAACCATACAATTCCAGGAAGGCACCAACAGAAATGAAATGAAAGACTTGAAAGTCTTAGAAGAATAGCAGTAAAATAAACAATAATAGAAGAGACTTAGAAATACAATCAATTAGAAGAAAATAATAAAGAGAAACACTGTTAGTGTTGTTTGATAGCATCATATCTCTTAAAGAAAAGTGAAACGTTGTGAAATGTGTCCTATGGTCAGGAAATCTGGGGATTGTCGACTGCCAGTATTTGCTAGTTCATTTAGCGTTATCCAGGGTGCACCACGAGGAGGCGAACTAGCTTTGCACCCCTCCAGAATCAAGACAATATGGGAGAAAAATAAAGCTAAGAAGAAAATACGGGAGACAAATAATGAAATAGAGATATGATGCATTGGGAAAATTATTTAAAAAACTATTTACTTTATGAAAATAAATAAAAAAACTATATTCTATACAAGTCATAGAAGTGGCGAAGTACATCTTAGAAGAGTCTCTGAAGAATGACATAAAAAAGGTATACAAGTATATATAAAAAGTTAGAGAAATACAACCAATGGAAGAGTTTATAGGATTGATAAATGATGGCATCCTCGTAATGAAGAAAATATGGGAGAGAAATAGCGAAAGAGGAGATGAATTGAAAAAATGACATGAAAATGAAGGATAAATTGAGGAAAATGGCATAAAAATAAACAAATATATAAGTCTGTCGTTGGAAGAGCAGAATATATAGAATTGATGAATGATATTCCAAAAATAAAGAAAACATGGCAGACAAAAATAGAGCAAGGTAGGCCAAAAGCAAGAAGTATTAGATGATAATACAAAATAGAGAAGTATGTGGTCAATAGAAAAACTGACAAAAAGTAATGCTTAGCTACCTCCAAAGAATATCTAGTCAAAATTTGACTAAAGCACATAAAGAA